CGAGAACAGAGAGAAGAGAGAGAGAGAGAGAGAGAGAGAGAGAGAGAGAGAGAGAGAGAGAGAGAGAGAGAGACAGAGAGAGAGAGAGAGGACGAGAAACAGAGAGAGAGAGAGATAGACGAGAGAAACAGAGAGAGAGAGACGGACGGACGGTTAAGATGCAAGTGTTGGCTTGTGCAGCAGACCCAGCGGGGGCCTGGAGCAGTGAACCCAAGAGGATGCCGCTGGCCAAAGTAGTGTCTCGTATAGGTCAGGATACACATACACACACACAGAAAGAGAGAGACCAGACAAGCAACCATGTAGAGAAATTAAACTAACCTAGCCAGACAGATAAGGAGACCGAGAGACAGACAAGAAATGATAAAGAGAGGAAGTCAGACAGATAGAAAGAGAAACGGACAGAAGGATCGAATTGACTGTCCCGACAGACAGAAAGACTGCCCGACAGACTGAGAGACGGACAGACTAACTGATTGACAGACAGGAGAGAGAGGAAGAGGGAGGGAGGGGGGAGGAAAAAATAGAAAGAGAAAGAGAGAGAGAGAGACAGAATGAGTGAGTGCGTGTATGAGATCACGCACGTTGGTTTTTCATCTTAAACAGCTGACTTTCCTTTTCATTCAGGATGTAAGCCTTTTAAAGAACAGCTGATGTGAAGAAGCAAGCAGTAAATTTCGTACGTGTGTAAGCTTTCTGTTATCTAATATTCCTCTGCTATCTCTGCTATCTAATATATTCAAAGAACGCAGATGCAGAATCCCCTGTATACACAAAGTTCTTCAATAAATCACCATTTTTTCTCTCTCTGTCTCTCTCCTCATTTTCTTTTTCGTTTGTTTTTTCTTTCTTTCTTTCTTTTCTTTTTCTTTTTTATGCAAGTATTTAGTTTGCACGTGGAAAATGACGTAATTTTCCTACTGGTAAGGTATATCAAACATCATTTTCTTTATTTATTTTCTTCTTTTCTTTTTTATAGTCAATGGTTGATTATATAATTGATATCAGAATGGCAGTTTGTACTCGTCAAATAATCAGCAGAAGACGTTAAGCATATAAAGGAAAGACATTTGAATCAAAATGGAGAATTCTACAACGGAAAAAGTGCTATTGGCTTTAAAATGCAAAATATGTTTTGATTATGAATTTACGACAACACAGTCACGTGATCATGATTATGACGCAATAGCCAAGCACTAATTAACATGCAGTGTGGGATTATTGATATTCCTTCATACCTTTTCAACGAAGGTATATTAAGCTTTGTCTTTAAATATTGGGGTAGAATCGCATCACTAGACGCTTATTTTCACATTTACAACCACATTTTACACAGAATTTTCACGTTTTCAACCACGTTTTATGCTTATAGGATCTCCAATTTTCTCACATTTACAACCACATTTTACAAGCACATTATACGCTTGTAGAAGTTTCACATTTACAAGCACATTTTACGCTTACAGAATATCCACTTTTACAACCACAATTTTAGCTTATAGGATTTTCACATTCGCAACCACGTTTTATGCTTATGGGAATTTTCACATTCACAAACACATTTTACGCTGACAGAATTTTCACATTTACAACCACATTCTACATCCACATTTTACACTTTTCCTTTCCAAATATTTCATGACAAGTGCTTTACAAGAATTACAGCATCCCTTTATTGTCTGCACGTTTTCCTGTGCCCTTTCCATGCATCATAGTTCTAAGGAATGTTTGTTTACATTACAACCACCCGTTGGAATACTTAAGCAAGTGAGGTCATCTTATTAGACGAATTACAAAAAAAGAGAGAAATTTGTATAATTATTTTGAGATCGTATCTGAGTCTTAGTTTTTTTGTGGAGAGTATTTTGATTTACTTATTTTCTCAGTGGTGGAGTTATTTCACTGGATTATTTTTTCTTGGTAAATTAGTTTGCTTTGCACAGAGTTAAGATTTCGATAATTTTGGGTTCAAAGAACGTTGGTGGCCTTAAAATATCTTCATTTGATCATTCTCTCTCTCTCTCTCTCTCTCTCTCTCTCTCTCTCTCTCTCTCTCTCTCTCTCTCTCTCTCTCTCTCTCTCTCTCTCTCTCTCTCTCTCTCTCTCTCTCTCCTCTCTCTCTCTCTCTCTCTCTCTCTCTCTCTCTCTCTCTCTCTCTCTCTCTCTCTCTCTCTCTCTCTCTCTCTCTCTCTCTCTCTCACAACACACACACACACACACCACACACACACACACACACACACACACACACACACACACACACACACACACACACACACACAACACCCCCCCCCCCCCATCCTCGACACACACACCTCTCTTCCCCCCCCCCCCACACACACACAACTCTCCCACCACCACACACCCAACCCTAACCCTCCACACACACATCGACCCTTCCACCCACCACCCTTCCGTTCCCACCCCACCCCCCACCCTTCGCACCCCGCACACACACGTCAAAAAATCCATGCATGTGAGACAACATAGACCCACGGGTGCCTGCGTATCGGATTTTAGTCATGTCCGAAACATGCAGAGGCCTCGGGTCAAGCTGCACAAACTCAGAAGGAACGGCTTTGTTAATCCCCTAGTTAAAGATCACATCATTTCGAACCGTAGGTAAATACAGCTTTTGGTAGCGATGATAACATGTTTATGAAGGAAACAGTGATTCACTCTCGCCCTCCGCCTCTCGCCATGCTAGTTAGGGTGAGCCCGAACATTTTTTTTCTTCTCTTTTTCTTCTCTCTTTCTTTCTTTATTGTTTGGTATTTCTCTCTATCTCGTTTGGTTGTAGTTTATCTGTGTTTGTTTCTTTCTAGTTTTTTTTCTCGCTTTTTCTTTCTTTCTCTTTTTTCTTTTTCTTTTTGTCTCTGTTCGCTTCTCTCTTCTCTCTGTCCCTCTCTCTCTCCTCTCTCTCTCTCTCTCTCTCTCTCTCTCTCTCTCTCTCTCTCTCTCTCTCTCTCTCTCTCTCTCTCTCTCTCTCTCTCTCTCTCTCTCTCTCTCTCTCTCCAGCTCCTCCATTTTCCCCTTTTTTATGCATGTTATTGTGTTTGTGTTGATGCTGTTTTTGTTATATTTATTGGTGCTTTTACTACTTCTTTATTCTGTTGCTGTTGTTGTTGTTATTATTATTATTATCATTATTACCATTAATATAATTTTGATTATCATTACTATTAATTATTATTATTATTATTATTATTATTATTAATTCATATTTATTATTATTATTGTTATATTATTATTTATATTTATTATTATTTTATTTATTTATTATTATTTATTATTATTATTATATTATCATTATTATTATTATCATTATTATATTATTATATTATTATCATCATCATCATCACTCTTTTCTCTTCTTCACAAACTTCCCCTCACGTGCCTTCCCCTCTTCCCCCCCCCTCCCCCCCCCCCTATCCCTTCCTCTATCCCCACCTCTCCTTCCCCCTAGTCCCTCCCCCCTCCCCCCTTGCCCCTGCCCACGTCACCCTTACCATGAAGTGATTGCCCTCATCACCCCCCCCCCCACCTCTTCTCTTTCCCCTCCCACTCCCTTCCCTAACCACCCTCTCCCTCACTCCCTCCCCTAGAAGTGATTGGCTTTACGACCGGTCTAATTTCTCTCTCTTTTTTTTTTTTTTCTCTCTCTCCTTTGCCCTTTAAGAAATTGTTGTTTTCGTTGATTTCTTCCCTTTTCCCTCCCTCTTTCTTTATGACCCTTTTCCTTCCTTTCCCTTTTTCTTCCTTCCCTTTTCTCCTTCTCCCTCCACTTTCCTTCCTTCCTTCCTTCCTTCCTTCCTTCCCCTTCCTTCCCTCTCCCTTTTTCCTTTCTTTCCCTTCCCTTCCGCTTCCCCCCTTTCCTTCTCTTCTTCCCTTCCTTCCTTCCTTCCCTTCCCTTGCCTCCCTCCCCTTTCTACGCTTCTCCTCCCCTTCCTTCTCTTTTCCCTTTCTATCTACCCCATTCTCCTTCCCTTTACCTCTTTCCCTATACCACTTCTCCCTTTCCTTTCCCTTCTTCTGCCCCCAAGAAATGAGTGCCTTCACCCCCTTCCTTGCCCCCCTACCCTACCCCCAAAGGAATTATTGCCCTCTCCCCCTTCCCCCTTCCCTCCCCATTTCCCCGTCCTCTCCCCTCACCCCATTTCCCGTCCCCTCTCCCTCTTTCCCCTCCGCATTGCACCCGTCCTCTCCCCTCCCCCCTCCTCCTCCCTCCTTTTCGCCTCCCCACTGCCCCCTTCCCCCGTTCTCCCCCCTCCCTCCTTCCCTCCCCCACTGCCCCCTCCTATCCCCTCCTCCCCCCCCATTGCCCCCTCCTCTCCCCTCCCCCTCCCCCTTTCGCCCAAACAGCTCTTCCCTTCAGAGTTCCCAGGCGCGCGTCCCTCGCCTCCTGAACAAGCAAAATATTGCTGTTCTTACGATAATGGGGACGAGGAGGAGGAAGAGGGAGGAGGAAGGAGGGAGGACGAGGAGGAATGAGGGAGGGGAGGAGTTGAGGAGGGAGGGAGGACGAGGCGAGGAGGAGAAGGAAGGAGGAAGAGGGAGGAGGAGAGGAAGTTAATGAGGGAACGGGGGAGGAGAAGGAGAGGAGGAGCGAGTA